GGGATGATTTTATATATATATCTTCATAGGGCAGGCTGTTGAGCCAGAAAGTCCTGGGCAGGAGCTGATGCTGCACTCTTTGTTTACAGTTTTTTTTTTTGTTGTTGTTTGTTTGTTTTTTGGCCAGGGCTGGGTTTGAACCTGCCACCTCCGGCATATGGGGGGGCGCCCTACTCCTTTGAGCCACAGGCGCCACCCCTGATGCTGTACTCTTAAGGCAAAATTTCTTCTTCCTTGGGAAAGCCTCCGTTTTGTCCTTAAGGGCTTTCAAACTTTTGGATGAGGCCCACCCAGGTTATCAAAGATAATCTCCTTTATTTAATTTGTTACAGATGTTAACCACATCTACAAAATACCTTCATGGCAACACCTAGATTAGTGTTTAATTGCAAAGCTGGGTACTATAGACTATTGACCATCGCACAATGGATGCTCACTGATGAGTAGAGCCATTCTGCCAAAGATGAAGAAAACCTCTCACGTGTGGCTAGAGCTACTTGATATTGAACAATGCAAGTGGGTTCTGTCCACCCCTGTGGACAATCAGAACCTGAGAGAACTCCCAGAAAATATGTGCTTATGTTTGTAAACTCATATGTTTCCCCATTGGGAAGACAACAGGAAAACAAGAGGTGTCTGGTTTCTCCAGGAGATGGGGAACACATTTGTCAAAATGTTGATGGAGTGATTTATGGCTTTCATGTGATGATAAAACAGGACATGCCACACTGCCGGGGCTGGCTTCCTCACTCATCTTTCCTCTGTTGCTTCCTGACAACTGGCTCCTCAGTAGAAGCTGAGGAGCCCCCTCCAGCAGGGGTACAGGCCGCCCCCACACACAGAGTCACCCCCTCTCCGGAAGACCAGCTGGTAAGCCACTGTAACTCATTGCTCTCTCGCAGCCCGGTCGTCCTTGGCTCCGTGGTGAGGCTAGAGGCAAGAGTCACTGGCACAGAAGGAAGAAAGGTGTTTCTTTCCTGTGAAGCCCAGAACAGCGACAGGACCACCCTCTTTGCTGAAGCTTCTGGTAAAGCCATTAGAATTCTTTCTCCTGCTGCTTGTGCCCATCCTTATGATTGGGCACATAGAATGACTTCCCCCATTGCTGAAGATTCTTAAAGCTTCTCTTTCCGAAGAATGTGGTTGGGGTGGAAGTGAATGTTCGAATGGAGAGGAGCCTTCACTATAGGATGGAGACTGTCATAAGACACCCATGAGACCTCTCTGAGAAGCCACTAAGCATGGAGAGGATTATGAAGGTGGGCTGGGGCCTTGGAGAGATCAGGAGGGTGAGCAGCAGAGTGTGCATGCAATCTCCCTTCTCCATCCCCTACTGATTCCAAAGGGCAGAGGGTAGGCCCATTGCTTTGGCATCAATAGAAGAGAGAATTTAGATACTTCCAGAAGTAACTTTGTCTTCCAGGCAATCAGAAAGCTCTCCCTGAGCTGGTTTTTCTGGAAGCATGAGGGAGGGGGGTGATTCACCTGTGTGTTCTTTGTCATTCTAGCCATCTTCTTGCAAATGAAGTGACACAGATGGCAAGGCACTGCCAGGCTCATCTGCTGCCCTGGTGGGTAGAGAAATAGGAAACTGGAGCCTCCATCAGAGCAGATTCCTCTCCCTGCTGTCCACCGCCCACTTTGCGGGTGTGCCTTTATCTTTCCTTCTGGAACAGTGAAATTCCTCCAGATGTCAAAACTTCCTGTGAATAAAGTTTTTAGAGGAAGTCATGTATACAAATTAACATAAGTATATTTCTTCCTGGATATAATTCCTGGGTTAGAAAAGCATCAAGTCATCCCATCATCTAACCCTGAAAATAAGGGTGGCCTTAGGTCTTTGGGGGTCTCAACATATAATTGGGTGGAGTGAGGTAACAGCAGCCAAATCATCTTTCCCTGACAGCAGATAAATCAGAGAAGCTATGCATGATGTTAATGTCTTTGTTTTGGATTAAAGTCATAGAATGTTTTCACCATGTGGGAAGAGAATCTTCATGACCTTAATAAGGGGATAACCATCATGGGAGGACAGCTAGTGATGGAAAGCTGGTTGAAGGCCAAATGGCATGGTTACAGCAACATCCTCCCTATACTCTTGGAATGCCTCAAGGCCAGTGTTCCTGGGAAACATCAGAATAAGTGATCTCCCACCCAGTCCTGGCTGACACTAGAGACAAGGCCCTGGTAAGAAGATTAACACTTCTACGGAAGGGAGTAATTCCAAGATCGATCCCTGACACAATGATCAGTAACTTTGCAGAAAAATATGACTTCCCTCACCTCTCATAATCCCCTCCCAAATTCCAACTATACTAATAAATTCTCTTGAAACTGTGAGCAGGGAGCTGACTCCTAGTCAGATTCCACTCTGCTCTTTTCTTTTCTTTTTTTATTAAATCATAGCCTTTCCTTAATCTCTGGGCTGGCCTCCTCTCTTTCTTGTGGTCCCTCACCCCTATTCTACCCCTAAACCTCTCACACCAGATATTTTTTCTTTTCTTTTTTTTTCTGAGTGCCAGTTTCATAAGCAATTTTCCTTTTGTTTAATTCACTCCTACAAACCTGCTGTAAGTATTGCTCCAACCCTCCCACTCATTTGCTGACAGTAGTGCTCCTTTCACATAATCATTTTATATCTCTGCATCCTCACAAACATTAAGTGGGGGGGATGAAGGAAGAGAAGAGACTGTGGGTTCCAGGATTGCAAGTGATGGTACAGATCCAGATAACGGAAAATCTGCAGCTGCCGCCCTTGAAAGTCAGACCACTGAGCTCAGAGCCAAGCAGCGCAGGCTTACCTGTGAGGGTGAGGCAGTGGACACCAGACTGTCACTCCCACCTCTACTTCCACCCCCAGAGTAGCCAAGAGCAGCCTTTAAAATATGTCAGCCCAGGGTTTCCCACACGTAGAAATTCTTGCTCTGTGGTGGGGGTGATGGTGGTGGTGGTGGTGGTAATGAGATCTTTTAAAAGAGGTGCCAGCACAATCATCAACACTGCACAAAGAAAATGAGCCTTGTAGCTTAGAACAAGGAGTAGCAAAGTATACTGTAATAATCACGCCCCCCAGCCCTTGACCCCTTCCCTAAGACCAGTGAGGAACAAAGCCCCCTGCCCCTCAAAAGGAAACCTCTCCTAAGCCTTCTAGTCCCAGCCCCCTCAAGCAAAAAGAAGCAGCCAGAGATTAAGGAAGTATGCAGGGAGGGGTTGAGCGAAGGGAGGGGTGGATCCCAAATAAAGCCCTGAGTGAAAAGGTCCCAAGTTGTTCTCGGAAATTTACCCAACACTTGTTTGTACCCCTGAACTATGTGACCCTCATCTTATGATCATGAAATAATGTACTTGTGATGTATTTTGTACTCCCATCCTGAATTAAGCCCTTATGATGTACCCTTACCTTGTGACCCCTGAGCTGTATTGAATTGTGCTAACTGCTGTGATTAGCTTCCCTATTGTGCTAGCTTGCAGAGCATGCATGATTCTGCAGAATAATAGTATAAAAAGGATCCCCCCCCCCCAGGCTGCATGCCTCTATGGTATGAGCTCTCTGTAGGTGCACCTGCAGGTGTATTAAATTCCTAATAAATTTCTATTACTTAATTACATCTGAAGTGGGGTCCATCCTTCTCTTGCATTTGCTGTCCTATTTTAATACAACTGCCAAGCAGGTTTGTAACTTTAAAACTGTTTATACTTTTCTTAATCCCCTCAGAAAATAAATGGGCTCCCTCCTGGTACCTCAACAGCACATGAATGAAGCCTTAAAAATATATGACCTTGCTGCCTAAATCATCAATGTCTGTTTCTGACCAAGAGTTTCTGAGTGAAGAATGGATGGTAGAAAATAGTGAAGGTTGCTATTGTGAACTAAAATACAACCTTAACCCCCCCAGCTGACTGAAGAGATCCCTTCTTGGCTAAGGGGGCTCCAGAAGTACCCTAAAGATGAGTTGCTGGCCAGGAGAAGGGAGGTCAGACAAGCCTCATCATTCTCCCCTCCCCTCTTGACAGTATGAAAAGTTCAAGCTTTATTCCGCAGATTACCAGGAACACTGAAAGCACGTGCCTGCATTTGCAACAGGTGTGTCAGGAATACTCTTCCATGGACCAGCCAGACATGAACAATGTGAAGAAGGGGAACACAAAAGCTGTTGACAGAGTCTGGATGAGCCATAAGCCAGAATTTTAACCATCTAGACCAGCATTATCCAATCGAAATATGTGAGCCACATTGTCCTAATAGCCACGATAGAAAGTAAAAAGCAACAGGTGAAATTAATTTTAATAATAGAGTTCATCTAACCTGAATATATCATTAATATCATTTCAACATATATTAAACATTATTAATAAGATGCAGGTCTTAGACATCCACTGTGTGGTTTACCCATGCAGTACATATCAATTCCTATCCTAAATTTTCTGGTTTAAAGGGAAATGTGGTTCTGTCAAATGATATAGTCGTGTCAGACTTGGTGCCACGCACCTGTAGTCCCAGCTACTGGGGAGGCTGAGGTCTGAGGATCGCCTGAGCCCAGGAATTCGAAGCTGTGATGAGCTATAGTCCGGCCACTGCACTCCACCTGGGTGACAGAGGGATACCTTTCCTTGCCCCCCCCAAAAAAAAAGTGTAATGAGAAAACATTCTACACTGCTTCAGGTTTTCATATAAATTAAGATAAAATACAATTTAAAACAGTTCTACCGCCACATTAGCCACATTTCAAGTGCTCAGCAGCTAACAGTCAGCTGTAGCTATCGTATTCCCAGAGCAGGTCTCCAGTGTAAATAAGTCCACCCACAAGCAAAGTTTCTGAACACACCCCATCAAGCCTGGGGCGCAGGGAACCACGTACCCTGCAGTTCCAGGAGTTTTCACCAGGTGGCGCCTGGAGTGCACACCCGGCTCCTACCTAGAGTCCCGCCCCGGAAGCAAACCTCCCGCCCACTTTCCAGCAGGACCCTCCCGCTTCTAACTCTCCCTGGTCGCGCAGAACCTAATCTTCTCCGGTGCTGAGGTCTGCGGCGAGGCAGAATGGGTAGGAGTGCAGAACTGCGGAGTCTGCGAGGCGGGTGAAGAACGGCGAATAGTTTCTCGGCAGGACCGTTCGGCCCCCGTAGCCACGCGCGGGCTGTGGGTGCGCAGCCCCGAGACGCACAGGTCTGGTTCCCGGTGACTGGATGCTTACGGGCGCAGACGTCAGCCAGACCCCGGCCTAAAACGCGCGCCTGGCTGCTGCGTCTCCTGGCCTTCTCCCTTCAAGGTCGGCAGGGCCGAGCCTGAGCTCCCAGTGAAGGCACCCCGGGCCCTGAGCGCTCGCGGGCCTCCTCTCCAATGATCCAGAAGTCACGCCCGGCGCTGCTACCACCCCAAGATGTCGGAGACACAGTGGAAACGCTTATGGTGAATAAACAGCGGGGAAGGGAAGATAGGGGTTCCGGGACTGCTGGCTTGGGAAGGGAAATTTGGGAGGTAGCGAAGGTTCAGGAACCCTTGGGGTATCTTTCACTGCCCCAGGAGCGTGCAGGGTTGCAGACGTGGCGGGAAAGATGGAGAGTTTAGGGGACTAAAAAAGGGGTGGGGAGGCTTGGAAGTAAAGAAGAGGGGCACCGGCACCCTTGGACGAGTAAACTGGGTTGATGTCTGGGTAGAGAGCCGCGGAATTGCTGGGGTCTGGGCGGGGACGGGGGGCGTGTCAGGGGAGTGTGCGCGGGTCCCCAGAGAGGTGCGTGACCGCCGGATGTTGCGTGAGGTAGGATGTCTGGAGTGACAAGTGGGACGGCACCTACACAGATGTGTGAACCATCACAGGGCCGGGTACTAACACCGAACGGTAGTGCACCGGCCCTGCCTGTAGTGCACCGGGCGACCGCTCCCGGAGGCCAGCGGGCGGGGCGGAGCGCCCACTCTTAAGTCCTCGTCCGCTGGCCTGCGGGAAACGCCACGCCTCTCCGGCGTCTGGATTGGTTGTCCTGGTCCGGTCCTGGTCCGGCCTGGGTCGCCATAGTCAAGGTAGGGGCTGGGCTGGCGCTGCTACTGCTGCCTGTGGGGGCAGGTAGGGGTGCAGCCGGCCTCAGCCTTTGAGGGCCCTGGGCGGCGACAGACCTCTGCTTTCGCTTGAAGTCTGCTTTGAGCCCTTGGGTAGGTGGGCGGCGGCGGCGGTGTAAGAACTTTTTCTTAGGACTGAGCTCTACATTGAAATCCTACTTACCTTTTACTTTTTCTGAGACCTGCAGCTCTCACTTCCAGGTGTGAATTTGATTTAGGATTTTTTGTTTTGTTTTTTATTTGGGGATTTTTTTTTTAAAGGAGGTAGGAATTGCTTGTGGAACCAATTTGCAAACTTATGAATGCTACTCATTTCCTTTTTGTTTGTGTCTGTTATTCCTTGGTTTTCCCCATCTTTCTCCCCCATAAAACAAGACAAAACAGAACAAAACTGGATTATTAATCTTATTTACCTTGAATATGTTTGAGCTAGTTTTTAAAAACTCAAAGAATGTGTGCACTGACAAAATTTTGAACCCATTCAATATTACCTGATGGGCTTTTTGTTTTGTTTTGTTTTGTTTTTGCCTATTAAAGGTCACTCTGCACTGCTAGTATCTATAGCATCTGCTCTGTGCTAATAGAACTGGAAAATTACAAAGTTACAAAAGTTATGAGCTCTATTCATTTATTCAAGAAATATTATTGCACCTATAATGTCCAATTGCTGTGTGCTGTGAAAATAACAACATTAAGATACTTCCTGCAGTCAGGGATGGGGGTAGGTGAAGGATTGCAGCCTTAAATTCTACACAATACATGTGAAGATTGGAAAAGTACTTAGGAGAACTGCTTAGAAGCTGCAGCCTGTGGTACAGGCTATAACTTTACTGAAGCAAAGAGCTGGCGGGAGCGGGGAAGAGTCACCTGTCCAAGGATGGGGTACGCAGGGCCCACTGAGCCTTATCCTATGGGATTCTGTGAGAGGAAGATCTGGGTACAGGTAAGAGGACAAGATTGATTTATTTAACACTGTTGTACACATTGTGCACCAGGCTCCGAGGTCAGTTCTTGAGTTACCACCATGACTGATACAGGCAGGAGTTGCGATCGGTCATAAAGGGGAGGGGCCCTGAGCCTGAATGTGGAGAACTTAAGGAGCATTAGAGGAGCCAGGGCAAAGTGACAACACATTAGAGTTTTAAGAAGTGAGAAAAAGGCAGTGTCCTCTGTCATGGCCAAGAGTGTGTTAGTGGGAGGGTGAGAGCATAGGCGAGAGAGATAAGCAGGAGCTGCATGATTTGTGAAGGGCCTTGCAAGCCAGCAGCTTGAACTTTATCCCGAGAGGAATATGGAGCCATTAAAGGCTATTGACTTGGTTGGTTTTAAAAAGAAAATTTAATTCAATGATTATTAACGACAAATTTATATGATGCTTTGTAGTTCCTAATACATTTATCACTACTTGTATTTTCATTTCATTTATTATTTGTTGTTTTATTTTTTAAATTGACAACTCCAAATTGTATGAAAAATTGTCTGTCATTGAAAAGTTGTGTACCAGGAAGCAATGTGGTCAGATTCGCAGTTGCATATGATGGCTCTGGCTGCATGGTAGAGTGGCTTAGAGGAGTCGAAGAGGTGTCGTGACAACTAAGTGAAGAGCTGGTGGCAGTCGCTAAGGCAAGAGATGGCAGGGCTCTGAGCCAAGGTTGATTTGAGAGCCATTTAGGGGCTCTCAGGTGTGGAGAGGCCATCAGGAATGGCGCCCAGGTTTCTGGCTTGGATGGCTGAAGGGATAAATAGTGGAGATGGTGTAACATTGGTCTGGCAAGTCAGAGGCTCTGGAGCAGGTATCCCAGCAGGAGAGAGCATGCCAGTGGGAGACAGGCCCAGTGGGATAAGGCACCCTAGAGGAGGAGCAGGTTGGAAGTGAGGGATAGAGCTAAGTTCCAGTTTAGAGAAATGTCATCTGAGGTGGCTGTGAGACTTCTGAATTAGGCTATATGGTATGACGCTCCAGAGAAAGGCTGCCAGTATGTGTAGGAGGAGGAGATGTGGGCGTTAGTGGTGTGTGTGAGAGAGAGACTGGCTGAGTGAGGCTGCAGTGAGAAGAGATAAGAAACGTAGCCCCATCTGAGGGGCAGGAGGAGAAAAAGGGACTTGAAGGGCAATCAGAAGAGGAGAGGAGGAGAAACCAGAGACCAGGAGGAGAGGTGCTCAGACGTATGAAATGCACCAGGGAGGCCACGTAAGATAAGAACAGGAATGGGAAAGGGGTCCTGGGGGGTTCAGGGCCTTGGGAGCCCTCAGAGACTAAATTAATAGAGATTAGCAGATGGCAGACTGGAGGTGGGAGGACTGAGGAGTACCTGGCCCAGAGTGAGTAGAGATGGTGTAACATTGGTCTGGCAAGACAGAGGCTCTGGAGCAGGTATCCCAGCAGGAGAGAGCATGCCAGTGGGAGACAGGCCCAGTGTGCGGGGAGCAGGGCTCATTAATGCCAGAAAGTCTGGAAGGGAAACAGAACTCGTGGGAATATTGGTTAGCAGGAGTGCACAGTACCTCTAGAGGAGAGGGAGTTGATGCCAAAACAGATCTGTTGAAATATGCCTGATTTTACCTATTGTTTTATCAGGCCACCCTTTGATACTCAGCAGCAATTGGAACATGGTTGTAAGCTCTAGTATTTGATTATCTGAATTTATTTAGTTTGCCCCCAACAGTCTTGAGAGGAATTACATTTGTAACTTGCTCCTTGCTTGAAACTTGGAATGATCTCTTTTCTCTATGAAACAAATCCCAGATTACAAACATTTTTAGTTCTGGGTAAGTAGTTATGTGGTGTGTATAGTGGGAAACTATATCATTGTAATGTTTTAGGGCTACTGTATGTGGTTATTTAAAAGTGCCTTTTCACAGTCACTTGTGCTTCTGCTGGGTCTGGGGGCCAGGAAGGAGGATGCAGTACTCTTTCAATACCAGCGCTGGGATAATAGGAGCAGGACCAGTGCTGGGAGCTGAGGTTCCTGGAACTTCTACGGGGGAGGCATTTAGTCTTTGAAGCAGTTCCACCCTCTGGCTGGTGTCTGGAGATTAGAGTTCAAGCGAGGCGTCATGGTGCATGGGCTGAAGATGAGGCAGCAAACCCAGAAGGCAACTGGTCTTTAGAGCTGTCTGTGATCTGCTTAGGTCCCAGTGAGATGGGTGGTGTAAGAGAAGGGGAAGGCTTTAAACAAAGGAAATTTATAGATTACACAGGAAGTGGCACTTCTGTTTTGTATTGTGGCTGAGCTTAGTTTCATTTGCTAGAGGAGCCTCGAAACCACGAGTTCAGAATTAAAACACTCTGCTCAATTGACTTTACTTTCACAAAGATAAGGAGCTGACCAGTAACGTTTCAAGTCAGGACAGATAGGGAAGTGTGGTCAGTGGTGTGGAAATAGATGTGTTGCTCAGCGGGAGCAAAGTTATTAGCAATTCTGAGACAGAGAGACACCTCTTAGAGTACACAGCATCCTTAGCAACATTCCAGTATTGCTAATTTCTGGCTTTACTTTCTTCTCTGAGGTATGAGGTTAAGAAGAAGCATGACCAGATGGGTTTCTTAGCAGTCCTTATAAAGGAATTCACTGGTCAGCTGTGAGAAAGGTGAGGCTTGCTCAGGCAGAGCTGATGACACAGTGTTTTCTTGTCTTATAGTTACATCCAGTAATCAAGGCTTTCCTGTGTGGCTCCATCAGTGGGACCTGCTCTACCCTCTTATTCCAACCTCTGGATCTCCTTAAAACACGCCTGCAGACTCTTCAGCCCTTAGACCATGGGTAAGGCCTACTGCTTACATTTTATTCAGGAACTGGTTTCAACACCTTCTCACATTTGACATTTCTTGTTTATTAAATGGGGTCCTTTCCTGAGCAGTACCCTGGAATTTGTTTTGGTAGTATTTGCCTTTTATGTGCTAGCTTGTAATAACTATATTGCCTGGTATGAGTAGTGGGTGGTTTTCTGGGAATAACACCAATATTGACTGTCTTGTGCCCTGTGTTGAGCTCTGCACTGTGGCAAGTACACAAGATGTATGTAAAATAGGAAGTTATCCCATTGCTTGCAGTTTAAATGGACAAATAAACACGTTTGTGCCAAACTGTGAACACATAGGAAGTCAGAGTAGTTCTGAGACATGTTGTAGAGATTCTTAAGTATTCTAGAAAAGACCTTATACAAAGAAGTCTGTGTGGGGGAATTCTTTTACAATGAAGTGGCCTAAGTGATTTTTTTCTTCCTTGTCTCCTTTTTATCTGCCTTCAGGTCTAGAAGAGTCGGGATGCTGGCTCTGCTTGTGAAGGTGGTTCGCACAGAGAGTCTTTTGGGCCTTTGGAAAGGGATGTCTCCTGTAAGCTGCCTACTGGGTCCTCTTGCATTTACTCCTTTGATAATCAACGATTTGTCATCCACCTTACCAGCTTTTAAGGATTGAGAGTCAGAAGGATGGGTGTCCCTACATGGTCCTTCCTGCCCATCTTGTACTGTCACTAACTTCTGTCTGAGGACTTACAGGAATGAGGAACCTGCAGCCTTGAGGCCACATGTGACCCTCCAGATCCCCATGTACTAACTTGCCACCAAATTCAAACTTCACAGAACAAATTCCTTTTATTAAAAGGATTTGTTTTATTTTCAATTCTTCGTTAAAAGGATTTGTTCTGTAAAACTTGGATTCACTAAAAAGGCTGCCCCCAAGGACCCAGAGTCATTGTATGTCTTACATAAAATTTGTAGTGAGGTACAGTCTCTGCAGTGGGCGCACCTGGCACCCACCTGTCAGGATCTCCCTGCCTGTACCATTCAGTGATAGTGGGCTAAGACCAATACACTGGCATTTATTTCTTTGCTGGAAGTGCCAAGGAATTAATGCCCACCCCACACCTGCAGCAGTCTGCAACCACTGAATGATGAGTTGATACTTAAAGACTTATCCCTTTAGGAGGAGGGATAATTGAGTGTGTTCAATACTGATTCCCAAAGTTCCCCAAAGGGATTAAGTTGCCCACAGCAGTAACTGGTTTTTAGGCAGTCAGTAATTAACTGTATTCCATCCCAGTTCACTTCCCTGAATCTCCTGTTGGAATTCCCTCCACACCTTAAATAAAGTACTTGCATGTAAATTACCTTGGAGTCTTTTGGGAAAACCCAGCTAAGCTGATATCTTAGGCTGTTGAGTCTTTGATTTCTTTTCTCCCTTTGATTTTTCTGCAGTCCATTGTGAGATGTGTCCCTGGTGTTGGAATCTACTTTGGCACTCTCTACTCTTCAAAGCAGTATTTCTTGCGAGGCCATCCCCCCACTGCTCTGGAGTCAGTCATACTTGGGGTGGGCTCTCGCTCTGTTGCAGGAGTCTGCATGTCACCTATCACTGTGATCAAGACACGTTACGAGGTGAGTTCAACTGCCTTTTTTTTTTTTTTTTTAATTTTTTTGCAGTTTGTGGTCGGGGCTGGGTTTGAACCCGCCACCTCTGGCATATGGGGCCAACGCCCTACTCCTTTGAGCCACAGGTGCCGCCCAAGTGAGTTCGACTGCTTTAAGGCCTCAGGGTGGTTAAACAAAGCCACTGGGCTCTTGGGTAGTAACCACTGATGTCAGCTTCCAACTTACAATCTAACACAGAGTATGATCAGAGAGTATGATCATATCAGAGAGTATGATCAGAGAACCTATTTATAAGCAGGCCAAGCCATATGTGAACTAGAGCGGATAATGCGCTAGTGATACCAGATCACCTGCCGTTTGCTTGGTTCAGCGCCAAACACAAGGCCTCTATGCCAGTTACTGGTACTTTGCTCCCTTTGCAGAGTGGGAAGTATGGCTATGATAGTATCTACAACGCCCTGAGAAGCATCTATCGAAACGAGGGGCACCGGGGTCTCTTCAGCGGCTTGACAGCAACTCTCCTTCGTGATGCGCCTTTTTCAGGAATCTACCTGATGTTTTACAACCAAACCAAAAACATAGTGCCTCACGGTATGCATGAAGGAGGGTGTAATGGGAGAGAGCTATCCCTGAGGTATCAGATCCTCCCTCTTTTCTCTGGGATTTGAGACTCTTTGAAGTTGCCAAACTTAAAGCATGTGGGCAGGGCCACCCAACCTACCAGCAAGCTTATTTATGTTGAGCTAGACACAGGCAAAATCAATGGGTAGTAAATATCCACCTGAGCAGAGCAAGGTGTTGCTGGAAACATATCCCAAAGGATGGGCCTACATTTAATAAGGAGCAAGCAACTGCTCTCAAGCTTGCTTAATTGGGGAAGCTAGAGTGCCCACCATCGAGACTGTGGTGACCAGCTGCAGTTGGAGAGCTTTGTGAGATTTACTGCCTCTGCAGTAATAACTGCAGGTCACAGCCTTATCAATTACAGGAAATTTAACAAAGATACTGTTCTTTAATCTATAGTCCTTACTTTGATTTCTCTAATTGTCCCAATAATAAACTTTGTAGCAATTTTTGTTTTATTTTTGAGCACATAAGCCAGTTATATACCTCAGTGTGAGTTTATCTGCTGTTTCTTTATGAATAGATTCAGTTCCACATTTTTAGCAAGAGGACCACATCAGTGGTATTACATCCTCACTGCCTTATATCTGGAGGCCCATGACAGTGGTTTGACCCACTCTGAGTGCTAACAACATTTTATCACTTATATAAGGTACAGCTTGCCAGGTGCCTCCCCTGAAAACTCAACTATGTATCTTTGTGGGAAGATAACTTTGAATCTATATAAATATCCTGTTTGTTTCATCCAAATATTTTTACATAGGCTAATGATTCATGTCCGAGTCAGTTATTACGATGGTGGTTGTTACAAAAGGTGCTTTTTAACTCCATCTTTCCCTCTACATTTATTAGTTGCACCTTTATAATTTTTCTTTTTCTTTTTTTTTTTTTTGACACAGAATCTTACTTTGCTGCCCTTGGTAGAGTGCCATGGCATCATAGCTCACAGCAATGTCAAACTCTTGGGCTCAAGGGATCCTCTTGCTTCAGCTTCCCAAATAGCTAGGACTACAGGCACCTGCCACAAAGTCCGGCTACTTTTTAGAGACAGGGTCTTGCTCTTGTTCAGGCTGGTCTCGAACTCCTGAGCTCAGGCAATCTACTCACTTTGGCCTTTCAAAGTGCTAGGATATGAGCCACCGCACCCAGCCTGTAATTTTTAATTCATAACCTTGTTTGAATCCAGACCTGTTTAGCTTTTGGGAAGAATTAGTGTGCAATTTGCATTGACCTTTTCTAGTGAATGCAAGATGTTTGACTGCATATTACCTTTGTTTTATTTTCAGACCAGTTGGACGCGACCTTTATTCCCATGGTAAATTTCAGTTGTGGGATATTTGCTGGTATTCTGGCTTCACTGGTAACACAACCTGCAGATGTTATCAAAACTCACATGCAACTCTCTCCAGTGAAGTTTCAGTGGATTGGCCAAGCAGTGGCATTCATTTTCAAAGTAAGACATAGAATAAGTCCTGGTTCTTGTGCTTTAGGATTTTTATCTCTAGAGCACTAGTTCTCATCCTTCAGTTACATTGGAATCACCTAGTGATTTGAAGATTTAAAAATGATTTAAAAGTCTCCAGTCCCAGGTCAAAATCTAGGCCACTTATATCAGAATCTCTGGGGTGCAAAGCCCAGTGTTTTTTTTTTTTTTTAATTTTCCCCAGTGATTCTAATGTGTTACCAAAGTTGAACACCACAAAATCTATGGTTTTTTATGAAGAGGGAACACTTATATTTGGACCACTTGTAATATTTGTTAAATATGCAGATTGCCAGACTATACTACAGATCAACTGGCTAGCACCTAGTACTCTAATTAAGGACTGAGGACAAAATACTCTGTAGTTGGGGGAAAAAACACACATTGTTTTGTTTTCTAGTAGTTTGTGCTAATACAAATTGACAGAGATGGTATTGAAGATAAAAAGTTCTTTATACCTAAAATTATAAAGTTTCAAAATATTAATAATACATTCTTCAGTATATGTGAAGTTTAAAACCAATCAAAATTATGAAGAAGGAAAAGGTTTTTGGTTTCTTTTGTTTGTTTGTTTTTGGCCGGGGCTGGGTTTGAACCCGCCACCTCTGGCATATGGGGCTGGTGCCTTACTCCATTGAGCCACAGGTGCCGCCCTAGGTTTTTTGTTTTTAATTCTCACAAAGATAGGGCCAAGAGCATACAGTGAATCATAAAAAATACTGCCTCCTGATAGACAAATGCAAGAAGGCATCTTTTCCTAAGTTCATTGATTACCTCCTTGGACCCATTATTCATAATGTTTGGCATAAAGTTTAGAAACTAAGGCTCAAAGATGGGGTAACAGAGACCTTCACTCTGGTGCCAAGTGGATAATTAATTGTATTATTGCTTTGCTTCTAAATTTTGACATTTATTTTCATCATAGGACTATGGACTTCGTGGCTTCTTCCAAGGTGGTGTCCCCCGGGCCCTCCGCAGAACTCTGATGGCAGCAATGGCATGGACAGTGTATGAAGAGATGATGGCCAAGATGGGCCTGAAGTCCTGACCAAGAGAGAATTGGGAAAAGGTGGAATCTATTGCCTTGGTTTCTGCCAGGGGCTGCTGGTCCTCACTATCGTGGAGTAAGATTGTAGCCCTGTCTGGAAAGCCAGGCAGAAATGTCATTGCCTTTGCCCCATTCAAGGAGAAAATAGATGCACCTGACTCAAGCCTTCAGAATCTCCCCAAAGAGGAGTCACCAATCCATACAGCACACTGATGAGTTAGGAGAAAGCTTTGCATACCTTGTGAAGCTACTTGCAAAGGCATTTCTAGGGAGAGGGCTGTCAGGTGGCTCCAGTTCAACCCCCAATGTACACCTTGTGCCTACTTGGGGACATTCTTGGGCAAGGAATCATAAAGCCAGAGAACCTGTAGGCTGAAAAGTTCCAACCAGGGAAGGCTGGATCTAAGGAGTCACTGTCACTAGGCTAAAAACTCTGAGCTGGTATTAGGATGAGGGAGAAAAGATGTCCTTATTTATTTAACTGGTTCCTAGTCAGGTTCTCAGAGGCTCTTAAAGTCTAAATAAAAATTTTGGTCTTGGTCTCTGTTACTGTTCAACCTCTGTGTTATCCTGACTTTTTTTTTTTTTGCAACTCAAGTTCAAATAAAGTATTTTACTGTTGAAAGTTGTTGGGAAAACCTAAATAGTGTTATCTCTGTGTTCTAAAATAACAAAATAGTTCTAGGATGGCTGGCTCCAGACCTATATAGGTCTTTAAAACCTAATTTTTTTTTAACTCTTATTTTATATATGCTAACAATTCACCTATTTCAAGTATAATTTTTTAGTATACTGAATGGTGCAGCCAACACTGTAAATCAGTTTGATTACAGTGAACTGATAACAGTAAAATCTCATGTCCATTTATAATTAATCCTCACTCCCAGCCCAGCTCACCACAGATCTACTTTCTGTCTTTATAAATTTGCCTTTTCTGGATACTTCATATAAGTGGAAGCATATAGCATGTCATCTCTTGTGTCATGCTTCTTTTACTTTGTACTTTGAGGTTCATTCATAATGTGACATGTACAATAGTTATTTTTTATGGCCAAATATTCTGTCATGTGCATATACTCCATTCATGAGTTGACAACTATGATTGTTTCTACTTTGGGGTTATTACATATAGTGCTACAATATTCATGTGCATGGGCTTATGTGGACAGATTTTTTTTTTTTTTTGAGACAGAGTTTCATTATGTCGCCCTCACTAGAGTATGATGGCATCACAACTCACAGCAACCTCAAACTCTTGTGCTTAAGCGATTCTCTTGCCTCAGCCTCCCAAGTAGCTGGGACTACAGGAGCCCACCACAATGCCCGGCTATGGACAGATGTTTTTATTTCTCTTGGGTATGTACCTAGGAGTGAAATTGCTGGATCATGTGGTAATTTCTATGTTTAACACTTTGGGGAACTCAAACTATTCCAAAGTGGCTGCCGCATTTTTCATTCCCAACCACACTATACTAGGGTTCCAATTGCTCCACATCCTTGACAGCACTTGTTACGGTTTGTTTTGTTTTTTATAGCCATTCTAATTGGGTATTCAAGTTTTTCTTTCTTTTAAATTTAGGAAGGAACCATAACTTTATCCAGAGAGCACAAGGGGAGATGTTTGGTCTAGTGCTTAAGAACATAGGCTTTAATCCAGGTGGCCCAGGTTGAAAGTCTGCTCTTCATTTACGTAGATAATCTTGAGATTCTGCCTAGGAAATGGAGGGAGATAGTACTATTTTCTACCTCTTAAGGCAGTGGTGAGAGCCAAATGTTTCTGAAATGTTACACTGTGTTAGCCTCGAGAGGACAGTAATTCTCAGTGTGGAACGCTTTCTCTGAAACCTCTAGGGAGACTCATTCTTTGTCTGTTCCACCTGTGAGTGTTTCTTTGTGGATGCATCCCTTATTTATGCCTGTCCTCACAGTGCCTTTTCCTCTATGTGTCCATGTCTCTTTAAGTCACCAACCATTGCCAGGTGTGGTGGCTCACATCTGTAATCCTAGCACTCTGGGTGGGCTGAGGCAGATGGATTGCCTGAGCTTACAGGTTCAAGACCAGCCTGAGCCAGAGCAAGACCCCGTCTCTAAAAAATAGTTGGGTGTTGTAGCAGGAGCCTGTAGCCCCAGCTACTTTTCTCTCTTGAGACAAGAGAATGGCTTGAGCCCAAGCCTGAGGTTGTGAGCTGTGATGCCATGGCACTCTACCAGGGGCAATAAAGTAAGACTGTCTCAAAAAAAAAAAAAAAAAATCACCAGCCATTGGTTTAGGACTTACCCTAACTCAGTCTGGCCTCATTTTAACTTGCTTTCATCTGCAAAGACCCTATTTCCAAATAAGTTCACATTTGCAGATATTAGGGACTATGAATCCAATTTACCTTTTGGAGGGACATAATTCAACCCATGTGTACATATTATGTTTACTTAATGATTTGCAAGTTTTAAGTAAGTTTATAGGATAAATTGCCCTATTCAAAGTAATAATTTGAGTAATCTCTTGGTGTCACCTGAGCCACCTGTGCTGTGACCTTGTGCATCCCTATGGGAAGCAGGGGAGCACTGAAAGGAGAGAATGAAAGGCGGGGAGGGGATGGTGTGAGTGCTACCAAAGGATTTGTGGGACTGGGTGCTCCATGTCCTATCTAGGTCCTCCTTAGACTCCACTGACCCTTATCTGGGAGCCCAGCATGCCTAATGCCAGAAGGGCCTCTGGGAGAAGAGGGACACAGATGAGACTGGATGGTGTGGGCTTCTCCCCAAGGAGGATTTAGTCTCTTTGTATTTCACAGGTCAATTTTGGCCACTAGAGTTCCTCCTTTACATGATCTTCATTTGTTTGTTTGTTTCTTCTGAGGGGATGGGAGAATAAATGTAAATTTAGGAGAAAATTTAATTTTCTCTAAATATAAGGTAAAAATGAAAATTTGCTTTGGTGAACCTGATTCCAGTAGCAAGTAGCCCTGGAACTAGGCCAGGCCCAAGACCTTGTCTTTTCCTCTCTCACCATCTCAATGTTAAAACTCAGAAAGGATGTGGCCAATGAGCTCTAGCTGGCTTTGGAAATGCTGTCCACTGCTTGTTTGCTTTTTAAAAATATATATATTTATACATATGTATATATAAACTTTTCCCGGCTTAAGAACAAATTAGACATGGAGTCTGTGGGAGAAAAACAGTCATCTGGTGACTAAAGATAAGGCAATGTAGGGCAAGAGCCAAAAAAAGACATAGAAACAAAGGTTTTAAGTTGCACTCCACTGTCTAAAAATGTATTCTGAAATATTTCAAACCACCACCATAGGAAAGCAAGTGGTAGACTGGCCCTTTATTCCCATCACTCAGATGGAACAGTTGCCAAGATTTCACCACTGACTTATCTCCTCCACCTTTCTGCCAATCCCCCACCTCACTTTTTTTTATGAAGCAGATCCCAGACCTCATACCATTTCACCCTTCCCTATTACAATGTACATCTCTTAAACATTTTTTTTATAGACAACCTCACTTTATTGCCCTCTGTAGAGTGCCATAGCGTCATAGTTCACAGCAACATCCAGCTCATGGGCTTAGGTAAATTCTCTTGCCTCAGCCTCCCGAGTAGCTGGGACTACAGGCTCCTGCCACAATGCCTGGCTATTTTTTTGTTGTTGTTGCAGTTTGGCTGGAGCCAGGTTCAAACCCACCACCTTCGGTACATGGGCCAGTGCCCTACTCACTTCACTGAGCCACAGGCACCAACCTTACGGATTTTTTCTTATGCAATGTCATTACCCCACATGGAAAATTTTAAGATATTTTACATTACCCATATTCACATTTTCCTGATTGTTTCAATGATTTGCAATTACTTTGATTAAAATCCAAATAAGAGCCACACATGGCATTTGGTTTCTTGAATCTTTGTAAACCAGGACAGCATCTGCTCTCCCCCTTTTTTGGTCTATGTTGTGCCTGTAGGCCCCAAGGGAAAACTTCCCTTCACTCTCTGAAAATCCACTGAAAATCAACTGACAAAGGCAGAGTAACAGGAGAAAAGTCCTACAAAATTTTAGGAGGGAAAATGTGTTCAGGAAAACTTGGGCTGTTTCGTCTTTGCTATTGTGAACTGAGGGGCTATGAACAGTCTAGTGCAAAGGTCCCTGTGGTAAAACGTCTTTGGGGGGTGGGGGGTAGATGCCTACTACTGGAATTGCAGGGCCAAATGGTGAGGCTACTTTTAGTTCTTTTAAGAATCTCTGTATTTCTTTTCACAGAGCCTGTTCTAGTTTGCAGTCCCATCAACAGGGCAGAGTGCTCCCTTCTCTCCATGCCCGCAACTGTTGCTTTGGGACCTTGTGATGTGGGCCATTCTCACTGGGGTTAGGTGCTATCTCAAAGTGGTTTTTGATCTGCATCTCTAATAACTAGGGATAATGATCTACGCTCACTTTTGATAAACAAAAATCTCAAGGCTCTGCATAGCATAGTGCAGGGGGTCCTCAAACTTGTTAAACAAGGGGCCAGTTCACTGTACCTCAGACCATTGGAGGGCCAGACTGCGGGCCCCGGGACGAGTCAGCTGCTAAGCAGGACAGGCAGCGGTGGCAAAAACACCTGGTGGGCCACATGTGGCTCGCAGCCCATAGTTTGAGGACACCTGGTGTAGTGGTTAGGGTGCCGGCCACACACATGGCCACACACACGGAGGCCGATGGGTTTGAACCCAGCTCTGGCCAGCTAAAGTAGTCCCAGCTACTTGGAAGGCTGAGGCAAGAGAATCACTTAAGCCCAACAGTTTGAGGTTGTTGTGAGCTGTGACGTCATAGCTCTCTACTGAGGGAGACATATGAGACTCTGTCTCAAAAAAAAAAAAAAAATCTCAGATCCTCCCCTTTGCACACTAGGTTTCTGGGGTTAATATTTAAAAAAAAGAAAACAAAAAACTAGGCTTACATTTTTTTCTTTCAAATACAAAGCTGTGCTAGGGACTGTAGGCTTTGGGGGCACTGTATTTCAGGTCCCTTCTGTCTGCCAAACGGATTTGGCCTACAACTTTTATCACTTGGCCTATCCTGCCTACTATTTAGTTCATGCATTGAAACCCCAGATTCACCACCTGCTGTAACTCTGAACCTCTCCCAGGAATTATGAGCAGTTGGTATTTCATCTGCCATCCAGCCCAGATTAGCCCTTGTATTTGGAAATCCTACAGGACGCAAGTAAAAGGCTCAAAGATGTCCACATTTTCAAAACCAATGAGACATTTTAATACTTTATAAAAAAAATTACACATCAAGCGTCAGAATTCAAAGGTTCAAGAAAATAAATTATCCAGCTTTTGTTTACTGAACATCTAGGCTTGTTGCGTTTAACAAAACCCTACATGACCAGGTGCGGTGGCTTATGCCTGAAATCCTTAAACTCTGAGAAGCCGAGGCGGGTGGGTTACTTGAGCTCACGAGTTCGAGACAAACCTGAGCAAAAGCGAGAACCCCCCCCCCGTCTCCACTAAAAAATAGAAAAACTGAGTCAAGAGGATCGCTTGAACCCAAATTGTAGGTTGCTGTGAGCTGTGACGCCACTGCACTCTACCCAGGGCGTCAGCTTGAGACTTTTGTCTCATTAAAAACAACAACAACAAAACCTTCCTACGTTACAGGTAAGGAAACTGCAGCTTAGGTGAGGGGAGTCGCTCAAGTTCACAGGTACAAAACAGCTCAATAAGGGCTCCCCCAACTAGCTGGCTAGCTTCAGGATCGAGTTCTGGATAGGAATTACCGTGAGACTCGGCGGCTCCCCAACTCAGACCAGACAGCCCCAGATGCTACCCAAAGTCCCGCGTTGGCTGCCTTCCTAAGCCCGCCTCCCGGAAAGAGCCCCGCCGCCGCGCTCCCCTTGGCTCCGCCCTTCCTCCGCGCAAGGCTGCGTATATAAGGACGTCATTTCCGGCCGCCTGTCCTTTCCGCGCCGCTCAGGGAGGGCCCATACGGCGTTGTCCTGGGTGAGTCCTGTTTGTGGTTCTCGGCGTTCTCTAAGACCACCAGGATGAGCTTCCTGAGCCCTTGAGGGGTGCGGAGACTGGGGATGAAAGCAGGTCGGACCAGATGTGTCTGGGTTTGGTGCGCGCCGCCTCATGCCGGCGCCCCGCACGTGGCTGGGTTCGGGCCTGCAGGTTCCCACAGTTCTCTGGGGGCGGGCGGAGGTCGCGCTCGAGTCGAGGCCCCAGGCTGGGCTTCCGGTCTGCCGGGGGGCCGAAAGCGGGCTGAGCACACTGTCGTGTCCCTTCTGGACACCGGCTCGTCCTGACAACGTTGAGGCTGAGGCGCCGATTGACTTGGACAGGGCCGGTTCGCGCCCTGCTGAAGTGGAATTGCAGTTTTAGGGTTTTAAAGTACAGACATGAGTGACAGCACGGCGAAGTAATTCCAGAGCGTTTGTCTACAGCGTGCTTGGAAATGTTCACATCTGCCCTACTTTTCAATTCGCGTGTCCGCAAACATGGCTGCTCTGGCCGCTCATTTCTCATCTAGTTTTGCTCATCCATTAGCAACTGTGCTGTGCCTTGAGCCGTGTTGGATTTCATTTTGCTGTTTTTGTCTGGTTGCATTACGCTGGGTTCTTGTACACTACTTTTCAAATACAAGATTTGCTTCAGTTCTGTAATGTGGAGCCTGTGTCTGTTAACGTTCTGTTGTGTCTTTTTACTACCCTGCTAAGCTTAGTGGCTGAGACAATAGAAGATACAGTCTTCAGTTGCTTTTAAATATGAAGTGGACTTGACTTACAGTTAGAATGTATTCTTATTCCTACTTAATAACTGGAGTGAAAATAACAAACTGTTTTCCAGATTCCCACCGTAACTTAAAGGGAAATTTTCACAATGTCCGGAGCCCTTGATGTCCTGCAGATGAAGGAGGAGGATGTCCTCAAATTCCTTGCAGCAGGAACCCACTTAGGTGGCACCAACCTTGACTTCCAAATGGAACAGTACATCTATAAAAGGAAAAGTGATGG